TCTAAAATAATGATATCATTAAGTACATCATAACTCTTAAACCATTTAGATGGTCATGTCAACCAATCTGAAACGAATCCAACTTCAATTGATAATTTTTTAAGAATTATATGAAGTAATTTTAAGCTTTATCTCATTAGTCAATGATAAAAACAATTATAAAAATCATCTTAGTCGTTAATACCTTCCTATTCTCAAGGTGTAGTCAACAAGGTGCATTGATAGATACAAAGTTTTAATTTTTAACTTATGGTAATGTTAAGATAACTATTGATTTTATTCTTGTACTTGATAACTCTTTCTTAACCCATCGATAAAATATATTAAACTCATTTGTTATGGAACAAATTACACTTAACATATTGCCTATAAAATTATCAATGACATGTGATTAAATAATAAAATAATCTTTAAAAGTAGATTGATTTAAGTCAAAATCTAAATGAATATTTTTTTAAAAAAATAGATCAAGTAAATCAAAGCCTAGCGAACATGACTAATTTCTTTAAGCACAATTTAAGTGTCACGAAGTACTAGTTGCGATCAAATTTATTTATTGTATATATGAGTTACCCTTACCCTAATTAATATTAAATCCAATCATAATGGATCCATCACATTAAATTGTTAATATGCCTCAAAACTTGGAATAATAAAAATTGAGTCTAATTCTTCAATCGAATGAAGTAAACCTTTGTAGTAAATAACAAGTCATGGCATTTAGAGCTAGATGAACTTACAATTTATGCATTTCTTTATATTCACTGTATACAATGTTGTATGTAAAATTGTTGATATACATATGCCAAAACTTACAAACTAACTAGAGAAAATCTTATACAATATATATTTATCACACATATAATATTCAAGTAGTCTACTAAATCACAACTATAAGCTATGATACTAATTGTAATACCTTATAATTGATAAACTCTGATACTAATTATAATACCTTATAATTTATAATACATCTTTGTTCATTCACACAATCTTATACGTGTAAAATAAGGGTAATTTTTTTAATAAAAAAAAGGCTCACCAAAAATCAATTCTATCAAAACATAATTATACAAAGTCATATAATAAATAACAAGATTATAACATATCTAACATACAAAATCATTCACAGTATAGGAAAATTCACCTTTGTTTACAATCCACTTCATAACTTGTTTGTTTTCTCAAGCTTATTCATCAACCAATAGTCTAACATTTTTATTATGCATATTAAATTATTTCCATAATGAATATCTTAAAATCTCATCATTATATGTTCAATCATTCATTTCAAATCATCCCCCCTTGTTTTTTAAGTTAATTACCTTCCTAAATTGTTTTTGATACCTGTAACTCGTGGTTTATGTCAATTTTACATTTATTAATTCATTTCTATATTTATGGCTTTTATCTTAAGATAACCTTTTCCATTTACCTAATTTTATACCATTAACTTAGCTTTAATTTCCTTAACCCAACTCCATAATTATGGCTTTTGATTTAAGATTATCATATTCATTAATCAAGTCGTATAAGTCAATTATGTTTTAATTTGGTAATGGATTCATTAATCCACCTCAATAATCATAGTTCCAACTTTATTCTCACTATGGATCTACTAGTCCAAAACAATGGTCATAATGATTTATTAATCTAAATCATACCTCGTGCTTTCATTAAATCTTGAAATTCATCAATCCCAAAACAAAGTTTATATTTAAGGCCTTAACACTGACTATATGATTAGTACTTAAAAGTGTATTTTTATCAAAGTTTTATATTATCATTTTGCACTTAAAGTATCAATAATTCATTAATTAAAACTGTTTTATAATAATATATCTAATAATATAAGATACCTTTAATTTATGGTAAATGTTCATTTTAAATACAGGCCTATCACATAAATGAAAGGATTGATTGATGAATTTAAGAATTGAAATTGAAAGGATAAAGAGATAGCCAAACTTAGAAAAGAGATGTCGGTGCAATCCAAACCAGAACACTGTTCGGTAATTGGGTCATATCTAGAGCTATAGATCTCAGATTTAGGTCTACTTTATATGGATGAAAAAGTAAAATATAGGCCTACAACTTTCATAGGGAGGCCAAGATCCAGAAGCAGTAGCCATAAGGAGCGAAATCTCGACGTTCGTAAGCGTGATTCTGACCTCCAGTGCATGGTTGCCCCGTAACACCCCTTCCGATTCGAGAACAAATAGCGTTCAAAGGCAGGATTCGAGGTTGATCTTTCCCCCGGCAGCAGACCCAGCTCTCAGATGTATCTATTATGAGCATTTAAGCAGTTAGAGATGCAGTTCCATCAGTTCCGTAAAGATCGGAGGGCCTTTCCCCTTGCGCCTGGTCGTTATTGCCTTGGCCTGGAGCCGGGTCAGCTAAAAGCAGCGGCTTCTTTCCCTCAAAAAGAAAGAGAACGGCACTTGGGATCGGATCTTTCCTTAGGTTCGGATTGCATCTCCCTTTCGCGTGGGTACGGACTTTGCTGGCCATTTAGGAGTCAATTAAAAAAGGCATCAACCGACATTGAATCTGGCCATCGGTCACGAGGAGCCTCTGGAAGTTAACGCTATTTCTCATCTCTATGTACGATTCTTGATCTTTAATAGGAATCCTACAGCGATAGATAGTTTGTTTTCCAACTTCTTGCAGGAAAGAGACTTCTTTTTTATTCCCAGATGCTTCGTATTCAATTCGCATCGAGAAAATCTTTTGTTAATCGTTATCTCCGAGCAGCAAGGTTCAAAGCACGCTTGGTAGCAAAGGGCTATAGTCAGAGAGAGGGTAAAGACTGAGTTCGAGATGAGCTCATTCGCAGCAGCCTCGCCCATGTTCAAAATAAAAGACTGCAAAGTATCCGTGAAGTTCAGAAGTCGTACGTCTGGTTCACTAGGTTCTACCAGTGCAGGGCGTGATCATGCTCAAAAGACGAGTTTGATCCTAGCTCAGAAGGAAGGCTAACCTTTATCAAGTCAGAACGATTGTCGACTACCAGATCCGCTGGTCTGCAATATTCACCCTAGCCCAACGCATCTAACCAGCTCGCGTGGTTCACCGGTTCCACCGAAAACTCTCATTTGTTGAAGCGGAGCATAGTACGCTTTAGGCGCCGAGCGAGAAACGTCCTCTCACGAGAAGGAAGGGCATGATTCACTTTTCCATAATAGAAAGAGACATCGCTCTCGCTCGGGATAAGGAAAGGACCCTATGTGAATGAGAGTGTAGCTAGGTCGAGTGAGTTAGGAATGCAGAAAGATCCAGCCAATTTGGTCTGGTCCTATCCGACCCAACCCCAGAACTTAGAATGGTCGGCGTGTTTTGGACAGTAGAACGGGAAGCTACCCACTTCGATCAATTAGCCAAGATTTTGACCGGATACGAAGGTGCTCGATCTAGTGGTATTTTTATGGGGATTCTTTCTATCGCTGTAGGATTCCTATTATCAGTGACCAAACCGGATCGGGACTGGGGAGTACGGGCGGGCTTCCTTCCTTTCGAGCGGGGTGGCTTGAGTGCGTGGTCAATAAAGAAAACCTTCCATACTACGGTTACGGTATGGATATCTAACTTGAGTGACAAAAGACAACGAATGCTTGCTTGCGAGTTCCCTTTCCCTATCACGTAAGGCTGGCTTCCCTACCGAATGCTTTCTTTCCCGAAAAATGGACATTTCCTTCTTTCCTGGTGCAGGTTCGGATGGACTAAGAGTTCCGGTAGCGGGCTTGACCAGAGTAGATTCAAAGAGAAGAACCTATTCGATAACAGCCGATTTTTGAACAATTTGAACAAAGTCAAAAGATTCCTAAAAGTAGTTCCTGACTCAAATCAGTCAACTACGGGCGGTAAAAGAGCTGGTAGTGAATCTTCGGCGCAAGCTGTAGGAGTAGGACGTAGCACATGCCATGATAGTGCTGGTTTGGGGAACTCTCTCCTGGGGAATGGGTCCTCTGCTCCAAGGTTGCCAATTGATGATTTTTAAAGCCTTAATCACCCCCGAAACAAAGAGAACAGAGTGAAAGACTTGTCCTGAATAAAGCATTGACTCACAGCCTTGTTGGTGATGGAACGGGCTAAACCCGCCTGGAGCATGGGGTCCAGCCAATAGACCTACCTATTAGGGTTAGGTGTTCTGTCGACGCATATGAGATGCGAAGTCCTGAGTGGAATGCATACGGGGGTTGGACCTAAACTCATGGCTTTTAGGATCTACTTCTGGGATTCA